CCGCAAGCTCAGCTTCGACTCTCATTGCCTTAAAATTGCTGCTAAAGCGGAGCAAAGACTATTTCTGTTGCTGAAGGCGCTTAGTAGTAAAGATCCCTCCGTTTTGATCAGGGCTTATAAGATGTATGTCAGACCTATTCTCGAATACGGGACAAGTATTTCGATTAGATCTAGTATTAGTATTTATTCTTTCCATACAAGAAAAAAATCATCCAGGCTATTGAACGTGTGCAAAATAGTTTCACTAGGAAAGTTTTTATAAGAGCGTTAGGGTACACTTACAACAGTATCCCACGGGCCATTATTCGAAATAAAATGCTTAATGGATTCTCTTTCTAAACGGAGGTTAAAGAACGACCTGCTCACCGTCTTCAAAATCGTCCATGGGTCAATGGCATTTGCAGCCAATAAGTTATTTTCTTTTCGGTTTTCATCTACAGTAGGCTGAACCAGCAAAATCTGCCTCACATCAGAAGGTGGCTACGAAAGCGGAAGACCTGGCTTCTGATAGCACTTCTTCACGCTGAGTGAAGAAGTGGCTACGAAAGCCAGGTCTCCGCTTCGTCAGCCCTCTCACTCAACGGTGCTCGGATTCTGAGTACTCTAAGTTATGCAAGAGAGCAATTCGTTTCCCTATAAAGCTCTCCGTTCTGCAAAAAGCATCATCTCGCGTTTCCTTAAGAAGTTCAGCTAGTTTGCTCACTGACTCCTCATCGCACTGGTTCCATTCTCCTTTTCTTCTCTTCACTTTTGTGTTTTTTGTGTTGTTATTCGAAGTTTTATCTACCTCACGATACACTGCCTCTATCTTTAATTGCTGTTATTACTATTTTTTTAAACATTCATTTGATTGTTTGATTTGTTATGTTTGGTTCTGATGTTTCACGTTGGTTCAACATGCTCCCAGTGGGCATGTAATAAATAAATAAATATAACTTATGATCTTGCTTTTTGCAGTCATCTTTTCTAGAAATGAATAGCCACTTTAGAATCTGCTCAAAGTGTCGCAGGAATTTTCCTCTGCTTGATAGAATGTAAAAAAGGCACGAAAACAATACCACGCGACAAAAGGTTTGACTCTAATGCTGATTCAAAAAGGAAAGGAAACCTTCACAACCTTCATTGGACTCAAATAAATACTTACGCTTTGATGCAGTGTTTAGGATACTCCTCCAATTTCGTTATCGTCGCAGCATAGAACCTGAATCACAAGTAAAAACCAATGCGAACAAAAATAAACGGAGATTGCTTCAAGTTTCCTTCAACAATGACTAATTACTCTGACCATATCAAGTTAACGCTCAGTAAACTATTAACTCACGATGCTCTGAACTTGGCGATCACTGGCTGTCCAGTACGTAAGGTCTCACCCAGTATACACGATTCACACAGCTTGTGATTGGCGTTGTGTAGATCCCGACAATTCAACGTAAGACAGGATTCGTGAAAAGACCTTACGCACTGCGAACACTTTAACAGAGGCTCCTCTCCTAAATGAAAAATTCTGATTAAAGGCAAATAGCCACGTGATTTAACCCATTGCGTACCGCGTGCTGCGTGAAGCACGCTTCGTTTGCACTCATTAAGCATTTTTAGATGATTGAAAAGAGTCGATATATTCCTGAGAAGTCTTCTGGGACAAAATATGTAATTGGGAAACTGCGGGATTGAATAATAGCTAAGTTATTGGCATTTCCGAGTAATACCTCAGGTATTATATTCTTTAATTAACTCTCCTTTACCATTAAAACCGAAATCCTGCTTAGTACACGACTGAAAAATTGTAAAATGGTGTGAGTGAACAGCTTCTAAGCACACTGCGTCACTTTTTCAATTCTTCTTAATTTTATCAAGCTTTTTTGGCTAGTTTCGCATTTTTCGGCTTCATCACTTTTATCACGTAACAATATTGAATCCCGTTTAGCATACGTCTACATATAAAAGTGATGCATAAATACGATGTGTGTACAATAAAGGATAAAGTCTTCGCCGTTAATCAATCCCTTTGTGGGATGCGGCACGCATTCTACTTCCATTCAGAATCGTAGTGGCTTATTGAATGTGGCCTATACAATGACTTGCGGTGGCCAGCCGATGTACAAGTCAGTGTTTTATCCTCCCAGACGATCTGGTACCAATTTACCGTCCCCGGAGGGTAGAAGGCTTGGTTGGCCTGGGCGGGTGTCGACCTGGGATTCGAACCCAGGACCGCGCGAGTGGTAAGCGCGCCACTTGTCACTACACCACCTCCGCCTCAGTGTGTACAATATTTTATGTTATATGTATAAGATAAAAATCTTATGTTTTTATACTCAGCGCGCCAGAAAGTCGCGTCGCGCAAATACACTGCGGTACGCAATGGGTTAAAATACCTGTAGGAAGACCATTAGCGGTATCCGAACTCATAATATATTACAAAATACAGAACATGAAGTTAGTGTGAAAGTAGAGGATTACTGTACCTGCATTTTCGCACTCACAGCAGAATGGTAAATGTGAGCGTTTATTTTCCACCAGCGGAATAGACTCATAGTCACAATGAGAGTGGCATCGGGTGAATGTCTGCTTAACCTGCAAAAATGTCATAATTCAAGGCTCAAAGGAGAAAGTTGCACTGAGGAAAATGCACAGGAGAATTCTCGCGACTACGCCCAAAAGATCAGACATGTATCCATCCGATGACGAAAAGGTCGTTTAGGTCGGTTGTGACGACCAGCTAGGATCGATACTTATCACATATGCGCAGCATAATCGTCAAAACGTCAATTAAGACTAGCTTGACGACGTAGTCGTAATGTATGTACGCAGCCTCAATAATGCGAAAATGCTGAGATTCGGTAGGTGTCACCTCGTACTTCATTCATTCATGGGTCGAACATAAGACAAGCTGACAGTTGCCTCGAATTGAAACATACTACAAATAGCTCGTCCTATTTGTAGTCATGCCATGTTTAAGTGAAGTACGCAGTCACGCCAAGCGCGTCGCACAAGGAAAGTCGTTCTGGGCGTACCCCGTTTTCAAAATGATCATGGATTCCATTCGAAGTGCGGCTTGCACGTAGATTCGCGAATGGTGGTTCTTGCTGACGGCCCAGGAAACGCCAAGAAGAGTAAAAAGACGTCTACTGAAAGTACATGGGATGTACAAAAGTTACGTTCATAGGTACTCTAAGTATAAGAGATGTTCATCGCCTTTCTGGCGCCAGAAGACTTAGCCGTGGAAAGAGTCAAAATTAAAATTAAGAGATCGTAAACATCGTAACAGGATATCGGTACCCTACCGGTCCAGCCAAAACTTTGTTCTCTGGCATTTTCGTGTTGTGTGGACTCTTTGTCCGGCAATGGTGACCGGAAGATCTCCAATCTTCGTGAAATGTGGAGACCAGAAGCGTCAATAAAACCATCTTTTTGGCCAGAAAGTTTGTCACGTGATATCGATAGGCCTTGATCACGATTTTGACATTTATTTTTACCGTCGACACAATTTGACACCAGGATTTCGCGCCTAGATATCTCCACATGAGTGTAAATACCATTCAGTGGAGAAAATGCTTGCCTCCAGAATTCGGCCCAGAAATGCGCGCATGGTTAGCTATAAGCAAGTGCCATATTCGTGATTAGGGCACTGATTAGCCTAGAAAGATCAATTTTCAGCAACGATCTTGCTTAATGATTGAAAAACGTGGAATAATCAATAGTACCGATCATTGGGGTGCTCCATTTGAATTGGGTAGCCGTGATAATTTTAATGGCCAATTACACGAGTCTACATCCATGCACGCGAATATATGGATGGGAAGCGAAAGCAAAAGCCTGAAAGGTGCAAACAGACTCCGATTTGGAGGAAGTCGAATACGCTCAAGCCCAGCTACCGTTTGTGCCGTTACGACAATCCTCTGCGCGCTTTTCGCATTACGCCATCCGATCCAACTGTGTTTAACGCGTCTCCAAGCCTCTTCAAGAAACAAGTTCTAATTGAATAAGCTATTTGAATCAAGCACGGTGATTCGAATAAGATCCATTTGCGCGCACACTTTTCACCTCGAATTTCAGACTTCTCTTTGAGGACCCTCGTGGCCACAACTCCTTAGAGACACAAGGGATAGCACATGTAGAGGTTCAAAAGGAAGATGTTTACACAGATATCCTTTTCGCTCCCTTTTTGCGCTTCCTGGGACCCCAGCGAAAGAACGTCTTACAAAATGGAAAAATCATTTCGAAAAAGCAGGCCACACCCTGAACGACCTCCTTTGTCAGAGATATGTAGTTTACTTGCACCCAAATGACCCTATTGTAACTATAGCATTATCTGAACTATTATAGGTTTCAGCTGTAATGATGCTTTCTCCTCGTTAGTCATCAAGAGAGGTCATGTGGAAACATACACTTCAAATAAAAAAAGCAATTAGCCAGCGATTCAGTTTGGACCCACTTCAGGTCAACCCTTCGTGTTCTCTGGCCGTATCCATATCCGCATACAATTCAAAATCAGCCGGACAGCACTGCTCATGGAAACCACGGAAACATGAATCGCACTCTATAAGCTTGCCTGAAAAGTCTCTCATGTAGCAGAACGAAGTGGATCAGTCAACTTTCTATTAGGTTCATCCCATTCAAACGTGCCGCCGGTTTTATTTGAATAAAAAAAGAGGAGAATAGATAGAAAAGTGATATTTTAGCTTCAGGATGAGTAAATCCCTCCTTCACCAATGACCCGCTCCCAGTGCCCCGAGGGCCTTTGGACCTCTGGTACCTTCGATTTTTCAACAAGTGTGGGTAAATTGCTGTTATTGCCAATTTCTGCAAATGACAAAACATTGTAGCGTCTGCCGTCGGAGAGTACTCTCAACTGAATAGAACAGTTGTAATCGCATGGCTTTATGGACCGGTGCGAATGGGGCGATTGAACCCAGGTCTCAGTATTGTTTGTGTCCCAGCACTGATCTACAATACAGTTACTCGGGGTCTGGTACTATGACGAGCAACGGTGGCCTTCTTGTAGTTGTGTGGTAGCATCCATTTGTCGATCTGAATGCCGAGGAACAGGCAATATGCACCGGACAGTGACGGATTTGTTGCTTCTGGTATGAGCGCTTGGAAAGCCACAGTGTGGGAATCCTTTGCTATGGATGATATCCACTTGCGCCCACTAAATCTCATGGCTCTTCAGAACTCGGGCGCTTTTCATCTCATTTCTACAAAATTGACGATTGTGAGTTTCGGCTCGAGGTCCGAGACCACCCATATTTCATCTAAGGTCTGGGTGCGTTTTCACAGTTGTGAGTGACATCTCATGCTGAGAATATTACTGCTAGAGATATAGAATTGGTACTGCGTTCGTCTTCTATAAGAAAATTGGGTACCCATGCGCACACCCCCTTGACC